GAGAAGGCCCTATCTCTCGTCCCCGCCAGGCGTGCCTGTGAGGCAGGCGGGATCGAGAGCAGGGCCTCCCCGCACGATCTCAAAGTCCTGGTGGGTTCATAGGCAGAGATGCGGTCGGATAGGTATCTTGGGCCGGAACCGTTTAGGGCTTTATAGGCCGCCAGCACCTTGAATTGAGCCCGGTAGCAAATCGACAGCCAGTGGAGCTGGTACAACAAGGGCGTTGTATGCTCCCTGCGTTCCGCTCCTGTTAGTATCATGGCTGCCGCACGTTGGACCAATTGAAGCTTCCGGGCCGTCTTCAAGGGCAACCCCACGTAGAGAGCGTTGCAGTAGTCTAAACGGGATGTAACCAGAGCGTGGACTACCGTGGCCAAGTCAGACTTCCTGAGGTACGGGCACAGCTGGCGCACGAGCCTAAGCTGTGCAAGTGCTCCCCTGGTCACCGCCGAGACCTGGGGCTCCAGGCTCAGCGATGAGTCCAGGATCACACCCAAGCTGCGAACCTGCGCCTTCAAGGGGAGTGGCCATATAGGCTGAAAAAACCTACAACAACCCAGTGATTCCAGCCATGAAAGCCTTTGACAATAGATCTCTGAATATTCACTGCCTAAGGAAACATGGATTTCCAGGGATTTATGTTGTCAAATGTTTTCGCAGCCGGAATCACTGGGTTGCTGTGAGTTTTTTTGGGTTGTATGTTCTAGCAGCATTCTCTCCTGACATTTCGCCTGCATCTGTGGTTAATGTCATCTTCAGAGGTTTGTTGTCAGTGAGGCAAGTGGGGTGTGTATTCACACACACATATAGACACACACATCTCTATATATACACATACTCATACACACATACACACACACATCTCTATATATATACACAAACATATATACACACATCTCACATATATACACAATTTCTCAGAAATTTCAAGCATAATCGGCATTTCATAAGAACATGTGGGTCACATTATTGCTTTGCTTGGCTATCAGAAGATCTGTGCACGATGGGTACCCAGGATGC